TCAATTTTGTTTCATTTTTCCAAGTTACAATCGTGCATTAATGTGTTTAAACAAAAATAGACAATATGTATCGGCTTACATCAAGGTAAACAGTATACATGAACACAACTGGATGTAGATCGCATCTAAAATGTGCATTTAGTAACCTTTATGAGGCAAATCTTGCGTCGAGAAGCCAATGTGTGTAAAACTGTGTGTCAAACCAGCTCATATTGTGAGCTTTCTGGGAACTTAAGTTAAACTAGCTCGGGCTGTAGTCAGGTGCATGACTCAATCCGTAATCCTGGTAAGTGGGCGTATGTTCAGGACGTGAGTTACTGTCTAGTGCAAGGCAGGTATGTCTATATACAGCAGGTGTACCTATCGTCATCCTGCACTGCAGCATGTTACCGCTTCTCGCTGTGTCCTTTTGTCCAGCTTTCCTTTTCCCTCTTCCCTGTGTCACCCTCCCCTGCCCCTCTCCACTCCCTTTCCACTTGTGTAGTTATGTTTCCCTCTGTGAGTAGCATGTAGTGCACTTGTCAGGTTGGCAGTCGTATGTCTTGTGATAGTAGAGCTGGCATCGTGTATACGAGCCTCCCAGTTGTTGGGTTCGGGTAGATACATGTGTATTATGACCTGTCGGCCTGGGGCTGTGTTTTATGGGACGTTGATTTGTGCGTAACTGTAGGTTGCTGCCTCCGTCCCTAGTAGGGTCGTGCGGGGAGTCCTTCATATGGTGTTCTCATGGTAAGGTGGTGGGAGGCCTAAGAAACGTATCCCCATCTCCCCCTCAGTCTTTCTGTCCAGCTAGTCCCCGCTAATCTGGTGTATAGGTATGCGTGCTCTGGCCGGTGGTAGGGAGCGTGGAGGATGCGCAAGGGACATAGGGGACAAGTAGCTATTGATTTTAGGATCAGCTAATTTGGAGTCTCAGCGGCTATGTTGACACTTGTTCTGGGTATGTTTTGCTTTCTGCGTTCAATCTAGGTCAGGGCAGTGTTCAATGTATTCGTGTCATGTTTCCAATTAGCTCGGGGCCCGACGTCGTGTCATAGGTCTCCTCACGGGAGCCTTGGGCTTAGGGGCCCAAGTGCCAAGCTCTAGCTGGGGTGGTACTGGGGGAGATCGGGCAAAATCTTTTTTTTTTTTCAGTTACGAGACCGTGGTTAGGTAGGTTTTGGCGTATGCCTTGTGCGTCTACTTGTGGGCGTTGGTGGCTTACCGAATTGTAGTGAGGGGAGCCGGGCGTGTTGGCTTGCTATTGTGTCTACATTGTCTGTGTATGAGCGTTCCTGGAGACATTACCTGTCTTAATGTACTGTGTACGTCCTCTGCCTTCATGTGTTGGGGTGTCTCTCTCCCCCCTCCCTCATCTACCCCATCTATCTTTCCACGTTCCCTTCAGTTTCGGGGGTTAGTTTACCTTTGTTGGTGCCAGTTGCTTCCCAGACCTTGGGGATCTCGGCGGGCTCAGATTGCGTTGGTGTTGTCTGTGCGCACCGTGAGTCTCTTTCTGTCTATCCTATTGTATGTATCAGCTTTTGTGTTTCGGGATACTTCCTGTCCTTGCTTTATTTGTCCATGCCTAGTTTCTGTCGGGGTGGAGGGTCTGGGGGTTGGGATAGGGTCGGGATGGGTTGTGAGTTATGTCCATTCTTGTGGGGTTTAATCGGGCATACTGGCTCCGGAGGGAGCGAGGTCCCCAGCCGGGGGTGTATGTGCCACTGAAGCGGTGCCCCCCCCCACCGCGTCTGCTCCAGTTGCTATCCTGGATACATAGTCCATCCACGGGAACCAAGTCAGGGAACATTTTTCTGCGCGACCCTGCAGGGAGGCCGTCATCCTTTCCATATTATAGATCTCTTCAACCCTGTCTATCCATTGTTGGTATGTGGGAACTGTAGGGCTTTTCCACATCGTCGGAATGAGAGTTTTCGCAGCCGTCAACAGATGTATGACGAGGCCTCTCTTGTATGCTTTCAGGGGTGTGTGGGTGTGATTTAGCAACATTGGCAGTGGCTGGAAAGGTATCTCTGTTCCCGTAATTTCTTTTATCAATCGGTGGATCATTCGCCAGTAGGGTATGATGTGCGTGCACTTCCACCAAATGTGTATTCCGGTGCCTAGTTCTGTGCCGCACCGCCAGCATTCGCCTGGGACCGAGACGTGGATGTGCCGTAGCACATCCGGGGTCCGGTACCAGTGTGTCAAAATTTTGTAATTACATTCTTGGAATTTAGTGCTTATGGATCCCTTGTGTGTGAGTTGGAATATTTTGTCCCATTCGCTATCTGTGAGTATGACATCTGCGTCTCTTTCCCATCGTGCAGTGAACCCCAGCGGTGGTTTGTCACCGCTGTTTTGCAGCATGGTATATAGGATCGAGACTCCGTGTGGGAGGTGGTGTCTGTCTGTGCATAATTGTTCCAGGTAGAGCAGTGGACGGTGCAGGTGACCCCTGCCTTTCAGAGTGGCAGCGTACGTTTTTATTTGATGGTATCGAAACTCGTCCATTCTAGTTGGTCGGCTGTCTTGTAGTAGGTCTCCTATTGTTTTTAGGTTCGGCCCGTCACACCATTGGCTCATGTATACCCAGTCTGTGGCTCCCAAGTTCCTGAGGTCGGCCGGGCTAAGCCCTCCCGCCAGCTTTGGATTGTTGGTGATAGGTGTAAGCGGGTTGTGGGACGTCATGAGGTTCCCGTTGTAGCGAACCCTGCACCAGACCTGCAGCGTGGCGTTTATCATTGGGTTGTCCGTGCGTATGTTCTCAAAAGATGTTTCGCCCAGCCACAGTTGGGCGGGGATTTTGCCTAGGGCTTGTTGTTTTTCTATGTGGACCCATTGTTTAGTGGTCGGGTTAGCGTGCCAATCGACCAGTCGATGTATGTGGGTCGCCTGGTAGTATGTGGTGATCGACGGGAGTCCCGTTCCACCCTGGCTTTTTGGCCGTTCTAAGGTAGACCGTTTCACGCGTGATGGTTTGTGGTTCCAGACGAACTGTCGGATGGTAGTCGTAATTGCTTGAAAGAACCCTCTGGGGATGGATGTTGGTAATGTCTGGAATAGGTATAGAATGCGAGGCATGACATTCATTTTTATCGCGTTTATGCGTCCAAACCATGAGATGTACTGGGCCGTCCACCGTTTTATATCCAGTTGTAAGGTTGCTAGAAGGGGTGCGAAGTTCAGTTGGTATATGCGCGTCGTGTCCTCGGGTAGCCAGACGCCAAGATATCGCAATTTGGAGGTGCATATTCTGAAGGGGAATTGCGTTTGGATGTGTTGCTGGAGAGTCGCGTCCCTAGTGAGCAGCATTGCCTCGGATTTATCCAGATTTAGCTTTAGGTTGGATACCTCGCTGTAGGTTCGGAATGCGTCCAGGAGGTTCGGTGTCGACACCCTAGGTTGCTCCAGGAAAAATAGCATGTCGTCGGCATAGGCCGCTACTCGGTGTTCCTTTCCGCCTATGCTAAATCCCGTGATCCCCCCATGCCGTCTGACCGCTTCGAGGAAGGGTTCGAGGGTGAGGGCGAATAGAAGGGGGGATAGGGCGCATCCTTGCCTTGTGCCATTGCTTATGTCAAATGAGTCGGTCAGGGCTCCATTGACATGTATGCGTGCAGTCGGCGTGGTGTATAGTGCGGCTACCCAAGTTCGCAACCGTGGACCAAACCCCATGTGACTCAGGGTCGCTGCCATGTAATCCCAGTCTACCCGGTCAAATGCCTTTTCGGCGTCGGTGGATAGAAGCACCATGTCTCGTTTGCCGGCCACTGTTGCGTGTATGATAAGGGCTCGGATGGTGTTGTCCCTGGCCTCCCTCCCGGGTATGAACCCTACCTGGTCCGGGTGTATCAGGTCGGGGAGCGTTTGCGCTACTCTGGTGGCCATGGCTTTGGCGAAGAGTTTTATGTCCGCGTTTAGTAGGGAGATTGGACGGTAGCTGGCACAGTTAGTTGGGTCTTTTCCTTCCTTCGGTATGATCACGACCGTTGCCCTCAGGGTGTCCGTAGGGAATCGTCCTCCCTCTTGGATGGAATTGATTCCGGTGAGGAGTCTAGGAAGGAGAACGTCCTTAAAGGAGCGTATATACGCTATAGGGAGGCCGTCTGGTCCCGGGGCCCTGTGGGGTTTGGATGTTTTCAAGGCTCCCGCTAATTCCTCAATTGTCATGGGTTGTTCCAGGTCGGCCTCTTGTTCAGGCGTCAGTTTACGGGTGGTATGTTCTTCTAAGTATGTAGCTATCCGTGCCTGATGGTGTGCTACTGTACGTCCCGATTTGTGCTGTGCTTGGTCATATAGCGTCTTGTAATATTCTTTGAAAGCCGTTAGGATGCCCTCCGGGAGCCGGGTGATGGCACCTTCTTTCGTGTGTATCTTGTGGACGTGTCGTGTTCTCCGTTTTTCCTGGAGCATCTTCGCCAGCAGTCGTCCACTTTTATTCGAATGTTCGTAGAAGTATCGGGATGTTTTCCTGGCTGTGTGGAGTAATCCTTGGGTCAATATGTCTCGAAGCTCTCTGCGAGTTTCCGTGAGTCGGAGGTATGTGTTATCATCCAAAGTGGATTTATGGGTTTGCTCAAGCTTAGCTATGCGGCTTGTCAGGTTAGCAATTTGCGTCGTCCTTTGTTTTTTGCGGCGGGTGCAGCTTGTGATAAGGTGTCCTCGGATGACACATTTGTGCGCTTCCCAGAGAGTCAGTGGCTGTATGTCCAGACTTTCATTTGTCGTGAAGTAGTCAGTTAGGGCCTGGTTCATAGCTGCGGTAAATTCCAGGTCGTCCAGCATGGATTCATTAAGCTTCCACTGTCTGTCTCTGGGTTTAAAGAGCGGGGATTGTGTACCGATCAGAACCGGTGCGTGGTCAGAGTGGTCCATGATGCCGATGTCTGCGCTACGTAGTAGGTTAAGATACTCCTGGGCCATGAAAATGTAGTCGATTCGACTATAGTGTGCGTGTACCGCGGAGTAGTGGGTATAGTCTCGGGCGTCTGGGTGGTACGTCCTCCAGCAGTCCACTAGCCCCATCGTTGCGTGGCTTTCAGGCAGTGTGTGGGGATCGCGCTTTGGCCCCTCGAGGTGTCACGTATGGGGTCCAACGGCATGTTTAGATCTCCTGCTACGATCAGCAGGCCCCCTCTGAACTTCTCCAGTTTGGCCAGCGCCTGGCGTATGAACGTATGTTGCTTTCTGTTTGGTCCGTATAAGCATGCGAAGGTGTATTCATGGTCTGCGATGGTGCCTCTCAGGAAGAGGTACCTCCCGTTCGGGTCCGCTAGAGTTTGTGTAGTCTGGAATGGCACCGAGTGAGCGAACAGAATGGCAACTCCGGCTTTTTTGGTGTCGGGGTGGTTAGCGTAGAAACCCAAAGGGAAGCGCCGGTTTTCTAGTTTAGGTGCGTCTCCACCTTTGAGATGGGTTTCTTGCAGGAAAACGACGGAGGCTTTAGCGCTCCACAGTCGACGGTGCAAGTGGGCCCGTTTTTCTGGGGAGTTGAGTCCCTGGACGTTGTTAGACCAGTACGTCAGCTGGGCCGGGGCAAACGCCCGGGTGGCAGCCATTTTGGGAGGGGGGAGGGGGCCCCACCCGCAGCGGCACTGGAGGGGTGAGGGGAAGGCTGTCGTCTAGAATGCGGGTTTTAGGAGGATGGGGTTATCTGGGGTCAGGAGGACCCGTGAACGGGGTTAGTTTGGGTGTGACGTCGACCCTGTACCGGATTTTGGGGGTTCTCGGGGGTTGGTTACCTGACCTTCCCTGAGGTTCCGGTATAATTTACAGGAGGGTCTGTCTCAGTGAGGAACAGTGTCGTCTTGACCAATGGGGTGGTTCGGTCTAGTGGTCGATTGTCATCTACTATCTCCTTCGGCTCCCAACCTGAATTGGGCTTTCGTAGTAGCTATGTCTCTCAGTGTAGTGTTGAAGATGGGGTGCATGGTAGCGGGTCTCTGCTCCCACATGTCGCTATGGGGCCGTTTGTGTATCTTGTTGTGTGCTTTTAAAGGGTGCGTCCCTCCCAGTCTCCCCCTTCATTATGCGTGTTTGTGGCTGCCTGTTCGAAACCCTGGATCACCCATGGCCGTATTTGGGTCGGGGTTCAGCGGTGTTATTGGGAAGAATTGGTGCATGTGTGCGCGGTGGGTCCGTAAGAGTCAGTGGCGCCGGGCGTGGGGTGTCACCTCCTGTCGGCGTGGTATCAGACGGGCTGAGTTCGGGTCCGATCGTCCCGGAGTGGTGTCCTTGATGTCTGCCCGTGGCTTGGGTTCCGCTAGGCGGGTCCAAGGATCGCTGTTCGGGTCCCAAGTCTTGTCATCTAGGGGCCCCGTGGCCGTCTGTCTTGGGGGGCTTCTCAAGCTTGGGGCATATCGGGGGTGTGCGGCGTCGTGGTAGTGTGTCTGCCTCGTTACTTTCTGGTAAGTGTAGCGTGCGTGGCACGTGGGGGAGCAGGAGTGAATGCGCATGCGGGTCAGGGGCGGACTGTGTGCGGGGGGGGGGGGTCATGCCTGCAGCTGAGTTACTGTCATTGTTTTGCTACGTTAAAGGCCGAGCAGTCCCTGGTCCCCTCAGTCTGTCTTCTGTGTCCGCGTGATGTGTCCCTCATCCCCCCCTCCACATCTGTCAGCCCGTCCCCCGTGATTCCCGAGTATTGTGCCATTGTCGAGCCCTAGACGCCCGTACATCTCTTTGGTCCACTTATATACACTCTTAGCCCCTCCCTATGTGATCGCTGATGCAATGGGCCCGGTGTGACGCGCAGGGTATCTCTCCTAGTGCATATGTGTGTCACTCTGATGGGCGCTCTTTGTGGCTACCGTGGGCATTAACTTATCTAGTGGAATATTTACAGTAGTGGGCCCCCCCGTCTACCACTCTAGTTCCCAACATGTGACACCCGTGTCCCTCGTTAACCAAACACCACCACCCACTCCCGGAACCCCCCCTGTCCTCCCGGCAACAGTTCGAACTGCTGTCCGTTGTACAGCTATGTTTAGCAACCGTTTTAGGTGGGAATTCGTCCTGTTGAGGGCCTGGTTGCCGTCTCTGGGGAGTTCCACATTGTCCCATGAGTCCCCTCTCCCATGAAATTCCCCCCCTCCCAACCTGACAAGGAGCCCCGCTGTAGGAGCTTGGCTTTTGGTTGGTCCGGGTGGTATTAACCTCTATAGCTGACCCCCGGGCTGCCCCGCCACCCCACCTAGACAGGCTCCCCCCTTGCCCCTTGACTAGTGTAGTGGTAGAGTACATACCCCTGGCAGGCTGGAGCGTGGAGAGTCCCGGGCTGGGAGGAATCCGAAGGGGAGAAGGGCCACGGTAACAGGGTTTTGGTGTCGGAGCGGCTCAGGGGGGTAGTTCCCGTGACTGTTCAGGGAAGGTGTTGGTTTATTCTTCCGAGTTCTCCGGGCCTCCCCTGCGTAGTGGAGGAGTGGGTCCCGAGCGGAGGTTATGAGCTACTTCTGACGGACCCGTGGCCCGGGCTGGGGGACCCTCCAGGATCCAATTCGGGATCTGTATCATGGGTAGGCCCGCGGCTTGTAGAAAGCGGGGGACGTCGTTCGGCCAGCGAATTATGTGCCAGACATTGCCTGAGCGGGCTTGGAGGCTGAATGGGAACCCCCATTTGTACGGAACCCTTCTCTCCTGCAGCATCCGTGTCAGTGGTCTAAGTGCTCGGCGGGCATCCAGGGTAATAGTGGACAGGTCCTGGTAGAGGGAGACTTGGGAGTCCATGTATGTGATCCTTTGCTGCGCCCTTGCTGCTTGCATTATGGCCTCTTTTAGTTGGAAGGATTCTAGGGAGCAGATGATGTCGCGTGGGAGGCCGTCCCTTCTAGGCGCCCGCAGGGCTCTGTGGGCCCTCTCCAGACCGAAGTCACTAGGAGCCTCACTGCCCATGAGGTGTGTGAACAGGCCTGTTAGGACTTCTTGAGGGATTTCTCCCTCAGTTTCTGGGAGGCCTCGGACCCTTATGTTTTTGCGACGACCTCTGTTGTCGAGGTCCTCCACTTGGCGGCGGATGTCCAGGAGAATGTTTCCCTGCCGCCCTGTAGCCAGTTCAGCCACTTGCATTGTTTGGGTGTGCTGGAGGCGGTCTTCCTCCAAGCTATCTATGCGTTGTTCCAGGGCCGAGAGGTCCCTGCGGACCGCCGTGATCTCCTCCCGGATAACGGCCTTCAATTCCGCGACCATGTCTGACTTATCTTTGCGGGTGAGCATGTTATTAGTTATAGTTGCCAGGTCTGCAGATATTTGGGTCAGCGTAGGGGTCGCCGGAGGAGTCCGGTCCGAGAGCGCCATGCTAGAGGTCGGAGAGGACGGTGTCGGCGTGGCGGGGCCGTCTAGGCCTCGTGGGCCCTGGAATGCCTGTAAGTATTCGTCCATCGGGCCGGGGTTATATTTCGCCGGTGTGACACCGGAGTTACCAGCAGCGTTCGTCTTTTTGCTTTTCCCCATCTTTTTTGGCTGTTTATGGCGCTATTTGCCGGGGTTTACCAGGTTGGGGCCTAGGAGCTTAGGAGCAGTGCGTCTTACTCCATCGGCAGTCAGGACACGCCCCCACCACAGTAATGTTGTCACCGTGTCTTGGTTGCAGTGCTGTGGTTGTGGCAGTCGGGTGAGGACCGGGATCACCCCCACTGGTCCATGGGGGGGGGGGGAAACAGGGCCTGGTCCACTCGGAGCTGGGACTCTGGCTGGGCGTTGTTTGGTAGGAGAGCAGGGCCGCGGCCATCTGCCCCACTCACCACTGGATAAGGCCCCGACTGAGACATCGATGGTTTCTGCTCCAGGGGACTGTAGCTCGATGAGCCAACCTCTCCCTGGATCCAGTGTGCCCCATGCGCTGAGGTCCGTCGCTTTTGGTCTGTTTTCAGGCTGTAGGTCATGTTTTAATGCCTTAATCATAGAGATTTTGCAAGAGCTAAGCTTGCATGCGACCATCCAGTTCGGCGGTTCAGCCCCGCCTCCCGTTATTTCTTCTTCTTTTTTTTATCACAATCTTTATTTATTTTGTTAAATTGCTGCTGTTTTTTTTTTTCACACTTGTACATTGTTTATTAATCTTACTGTTTCAACTCTTTAAAACATGGTACATTTTGTAGATGCGGTGATTTCAGCCTGGCCCTGTGCGTTTTCCGTAAGGTTATATGTCTAAATAGAACACTTGTTCCCCAAATAAACTCGTAATGGTAAATACAGAGTAATTCCAGTGACTTGATAATGTAGCTGAAGCATTGGTTTGTGATAGATACATCTGAACTCACGGTCTGGATTTAGTCCATATAATTCTATAAAGACATGTACTTAAAATGTTATCAGTTAAGGTCTTGCAAACACATTTTCATCAACGCTAAAAGAATTAACAAGCAAGAACACGGCAAGAAAAATAAGATGATGGTTGGCAGCCTGGTTCGATAAATCCCAGGTTATTTTAACATAAGCTCAACACAGCAAATATTTAGGCAAATGTAATTTGATTTATTCCTACACATTGCTCCGCATGATGGTCTGTGAACTGATTCATATTGATTGCAATTCTGTTAACACCTGCTTAATGCTCTCTGTTCTGCTTCCATGGTAACCAAGAAAGATGTCTTGTCAAAATATATGGCAGGAGAACAAACGGACAGTTGTGTGTAGCTGTGATACCGAGTGACTGGGAAATAGAAAATTGCCCGCATGATGCTTTATGGCCTTTCAAAGCGCCCGGTTTAAATGCATCTTAATAAGTGCTGCTATGCCATTGGGTCCTGACATTTAACTGACTGTAGATATATTTATTTAAGAGCCTCTGGCCATAATAAGAAATGAAACCGGAATAAATTTGTTTTGCTGATACGTTGGCCTCAAGCAGAGCCAGGATTGTTCTTGATCTAAATAGATCAGGATTGGGAATATTCAACAATAAGTTCCTGTATCTGTATGGGCAGTTTGAAGGCCTCAAGTATGTGGTGGACTGCAACTCATATCATGCTCTGACATGATCCCATTACATGAACTGTGGTCACTTCGCAGCTGGGAGTATAATTTTACATTATGGTCGTTCCTGCCCATCGCAGCTAACCATTTAGTCTTGCCTAACCCGTACATTACAGAGATTTTGAACACAAAAAAATGCAGAATAACTAGTAAACCTATATCTCAAGCTTTGGCAAACAAAATCATGTTGTAGTTTTTGTTTAATCCGTATACGTTTGAATAATTACCGTTTGTAATTATTGAAATACTATGTAATACAAGTTGTAAAGAGCTACATAGTGTGATTACATTAAAATACTATGAATGTTCCCCTTTATAAAGACACAAAGCAACCAGAGGCCTTGTTCCAGCACTCTCATGTCTCAACTGTTAAATCCAAGACTAGAATGTTTTACACACATTTACCACTTTCTCTTCACATTTGCATAGAATTCTTGTAAGTTTATCTTATTCACTTCCTTTCTTCTCAATGTCCATCCGTGCCTAATGCTCTCCTGCACCCTCTATTAATGATCTAGGAGCTTGCTAGTTTTAACCTGGAACCTTGCTGATCTGCTGTAGATGGTATAACAACCTACCAGTTGGTTTG